CTGGTTGAGGTCGGTGTAGTCAACACACATGCGCCATTTTCCATTATTCTTTTTAACAAGTACAACATTGGACAGCTAGGTTGAATATCGGGCTTCCGAAATAAAATTTGCCTCTAGGAGGTCTTTTACAGCTTTTTCAGCCGCCGCCGACTTTTCGGGGGACTGTCTACGCCTACGTTGTACTACGGCCTTGGCGGTCGGGTTGATGGACAGTTGGTGGCAGGCGACCTCGGGGTCGAGTTCGGGCATTTCCGTGACGCTCCAAGCGAAGAGATCAGCGTTCTCGCGGAGGCAGGCCTTCAGTTGTTTCCTTGCCAGGTCGGAGAGTCCTGCTCTGATCTTCACGGTTCTATTCTCGTCGTTCCCGAGGGTCACAATCTCGAAGTCACCGTCTGGATGGGGCGCGCTGGGTGGGTGGGCTGCCCGTTGGACTGGGAGGCATCGCCGACTTCATCTTCGCGGTCGGGCTCTTCGGTGAAGCGGCTGTCGAGGTCCACTGAGCCGACGAGTTCCTTAGGTTCGCTCTTCGGTGTCGTGGTGGGGGCTACTTTTTTAGTTGCCGGGGCGATGGTACTTAGGCCTTTCAGGGCAGCCTCGAAGCATCTCCGAGCAGCCTCGATGTCGCCATTTAGGGTGACCACGTCCCCCCGTCTTGTGTAGTATTTTATCTTTAGGTGGACGGTGGAGGGCACCGCGGTGAGTTCTGACATCGTCGTCCTGCCTAGGATACAGTTGTAGAGGGACGGACACTCGATGACTAGGAAGCGGATATTGATCTCCCTGGCCGTTTCCTCTTCCCCGAATGTGACTTTTAACTCCACGTACCCCCACGGTCTCGTCGTTGTCCCGTTGAACCCTTGGAGGTCAGAGCCCACGTAGGGGGACAGGTTGGATTCGTCGAGTTGGAGAGTCGTGAAAAGGTGGGTGTACATGATGTCCACCGAGCTTCCACCGTCGACCAGGATGCGTCTGACATCGAAGTTCTCCATCCGTGCCCGTATCAGTAGGGGGATGTTAGAGTTGGGGGAGCCCCCGGGAAGCTCCTCGAGGTAGAAGGTGATCGGGTTGGATCGACCGCGAAATTTGTCGAGGGTGCTTATTTTACCAGAGTTGCTGGTGATGAGTTCCTCGAACTTTCTCTTTACCGATCCTACAGATAGGTTCCTCGGGGATCCGCCGGAGATGACCATGGCCCTCGGAAAATATTCCCATCGACTGGTGGGGCGCGCCGGCTCGTCGGGAAGATCAGGTCTGCCGGGAAGGCCGAATTCTCTATGTGCGAACCAATCCTCAGGGCGGCTGACGCAGAAGGCGACCTGGAGGCCGTTGTCACCGTCTGAAAAGGGGAGGTCCTTGACTCTCTTGGCCTCGGGGGCGTCTTGCCTCGGGGTTTCGCCTCCCCGAGTGTATCTCTTCAGGTGGCCATCTTTGATCAGGATTTCAATTGCGTCCTTGAGGTGAATGCAGTCTTCTGTAACGTGCCCGTGGCTCCTATGGAAACGGTAGTACTTCGATTTGTCCACGTTGGGCTTGGGGGTGTCGGCCTGAGGAAGCGGACACCTCCCTGGACAAACTCCGTCTTGGCGCATTCGGCCAGTATGCGCTCGCGGGAAGCGATTAGAGCCGTATACTCTGTGAACCGGCCGGCTGGGCCGCGCTGCTCGCGGGGACGATCCTCCCGTCGGCGATCTCCTCCGCGCCGGTGGCTTGAGGCTCCGTCCTATCGGGGCCCGCGGGGGGTCTCTCTGTCTCGTGTGTCCCGGGCGGAGTTGGTCGCTTGAGTTTCCTCGAATCAGATATAATGCGCAGCTCTGTCGAGGAAGTCCTGTAGAGAGGCTGATCGGTGTATGGCCACAACTTCGTAGAACTTGGAGTCTCGGCGCAGGCCTTGCTCCATCAAGTAACGCTTCATCTCGTCTGACGTTGTTACCTGTACTGCCTCCTGTGTGAATCTTTCGATTTACTTCCGGAGGGGCTCGCCGGGAGCTTGGATTATGGCGCCCAGCGCGGCTTCCGTCTTCGGGTGGCGTCGGGATGCCGTGAAGTGTCTCGAAAAGAGGTCCTTCAAGGCCCTCCACGACGTGATCGACTCCGGCTCCAGGCTCTTGTACCATGTCATGGCACCTTTCCTCAGTGTTGTCGGAAATAATCTGCATTTGATAGCTCCGCGGACGTTCCGATAGTCGAGCATGGCCTCGATGTTTTCCAGGTGATCGTCTGGGTCGGAGGTGCCGTCGTACGTCGAGAGTGCCAGGGGTTTCTCCATCCCGTGGGGAATGGGGGCAGCCATGATCTCTCGGGACAAACGGGTCCTGTAGTCGTCTTCGTCACTGAGAGTCGGTGACCGAGGGGGTGACGGGCCATTTGGCGGAGGCGCCTGATTTCGTGCCCTCGGCCTCCTGACCGGGGGTTCGACCCGCGGAGGTCTGGTCGGGGGATCCACTATGGTCTGCCGTCTCTCCCGAACTTGTCTCGTTGGGGACCTAGTCCGCTCCCGCACTACTTCGGGTTGGGGCCTCTCCAACCGAGATCGTCGGTCCCTGGGGCGAAGTGAGGGACTCCTCGAGTTCCCGTTCTGGTCTTCCCGTGGAGGGGACCTTGGCGGGACCTCGTGCTTTAGTGCACAAATTCATGCGTTTTGTTGAAATAACAGCTGGTTCGTTTGGTTGATGGCTGCGAAGAGGGCGACCATAGTCGGGTCCGCTCCGACCGGGATAGGAATGGGCTGGAACGCTGCCGGGCTCCTTGGTTGGAGGACAGTCTGGTGTGCAGCTTTCGCGGACGAAGGGGAGGTAGTCTGGCCGTCTCTCTCGTCGGTCTTCGGGGGAATGAGACGTCTCTGTTTGCTTGTCGGCGTTTGCGGTAGGGGCGAGGATGAAGTCGTGAACGACATCGTCGTGGTGTGGGCTAGCCATGAACGCAGAATGTTGGTGAAAACTTCGGTTCGCTGCTCGGAGGAGCAAGGAAGTTTTAGGTTCCCACAGACGGTGCCACTGATCTGACCTGATCAGAATGGATCACTAGCAGCCACGCGTCTTCGACCTGATGCCTGTTCGCCGGTGTAGAAGAAGAGGATGGGGTGTACCTGTAAGACACTCTGATGTCAAAGTAAGGAATTGGGCAGAGTGAAAGCAAATACAGAAAAAGGGGTAAGAAGTAAATTTCTTGACCCTCTTGTGGAAGAGGGTATTTATAGAGAGACCCCAGCGCTGGGCCAACGGTCACTTGTGTTGGGCTGTATTGCCAGGCCCAACCCAGGTGACTGCTAGGGCTTACGTGGCGTAGTGAAGACCAGGACGTGGTCTTCGCCCTAGTCCAACTGTCCCGTGATCTCTGGAAAGTGGGTTTGACCTGCTCTTTCGGAGGTGGGCAGTTGGTCGGTGACGTGTCCCCGCGGAGGGGAACACGTGGGGAACGTGTGAAGGACACGCTGTCCTGCTCGATAGGGGAGCGGGTTCTGCCCGCGGAGGGGTAGGTCCTGCCTGCGGAGGGGGCAGTGTCTGGTCGACGGGAGAGTCTTGTGCTCGACACAGAAGGGGTAGGTTCTCCCCGCGGATGGGCATTACCTGTCCGTCGGGGGACCTTGTGCTCATGGGCTGCAGCCTAAGCTGGACTGGGCCTGCCTGGCCACGCCGGGGCCCAGGCCAGAACACCTTTTATCCTAAATCCACAAAATAATCCACACTTTGGAAATTACTCATATCATCCACCACCTTATCCATATCAATATCAACAATTTACATCTCAATCAACTAACCCAACTATGCCTCATGGGGATCAAATAGGTAGTAGCGATGCGCAATCAAATGATCAAAAAATGAAACACCACAATTTTGCACTCAAGGTAGCTTAGAAACAGTTAACCTTGGTGAAGAAGTTGCATCTGTACGTGTTGTGAATACGCATAAACAAAGGGTTCAACAAAAAGAGGATGAAATTCTCATTCAATCATGGCTCAACGTTTCAAAAGATTCAATTGTTGGGGTTGATAAAAAAGGAGATAGTTTTTGGAAGCGGATCGGTGAAGCTTGCAACAAGCATCGTGACATTAACTACAAAGAGAGGAATATCATGAAATAAAATCCATCTGTTCAAAAGTTTGTTGGATGCTACAAACAAGCTGTGTCTACACAACAAAGTGGGAGTTTCGAGAGCAATATCATGCAAGCTGCATATAAAATCTATTTCTAAGATGAAGGTGAAAAATTTACTTTTGAAGCTGCATGGAGATTATTGAAAGATTGACCTAAATGGCTCGCAGGTTCATCAGAAGCTTCTACAAAAAGAACAAAGAATTCAGCTTCAGGAGCATATTCTTCATCTTCTAATCCACAAATGAGCAGCGAACACGATCCATCATCACCTACTTTGTCTCGCCGTCCAATCGGTCAAAAGGCAGCCAAAAGGAAGGAGAAAGAAAAGCTTATGGAAATGTCTTTTACTCCCAATGTCAAATATGATTCTTTGAAAGATGACTTTAAAAAAAATTGATTTGATGTCAATGTTTGCACGGGACTATGCACGCATTTAGGGTGAAAAAGTTGAGATAGAGAGAAAAAAGGTTGATGCAAAGATTAAGAAGGCTGGGAGTGCTGAGGAGAGATTGAAGATGAATGATCTGCAAATACTCTCAAAAGATACATCAAATATGGATACAAGACAACTACAAGCTCATGATATATTGTGCGACATGATTAGAGGAAAATATGGACTTAATTAGTATGATTATATATTTTGGGCTTAATTAGTAAGATTATGTATTTTGGGCTTAATTAGTATGATTATGTATTTTGGAATTAATTAATATGGATTTAATTAGTATGATTACATATTCAAAATCAAATTAGCCGTTATTCAAAGTCAAACTAGCCGTTATTCAAAGTCCAACTAGCCGTTATTCAAACTAGTCATTATTCAAAGTAGTCTTATAAATAGTATTAACATCTTGTATTTTTTACAATTTGTTATCATCTTCTACTAAATATCAAACTTCTTTTCACATGGATCCTTCCAATCCTTCCCACCTTGCAAAAATGTTTATGGATTATATGAATGATGACGTGGATGAAGAACTTGTGAGGTTGTTTATGGAAGAAGAAGCCTCGAGCTCTAGAAAGCCTAAGCGTCAAAGAAGGAATATAAAGAGGAATCGTGAAGAAGGACATGAACGATTGTTCAAAGATTATTTTTTAGAAACTCCGGTATACACAAATGAGCAGTTTCGTAGAAGGTACCGAATGCATAAACATGTGTTCCTTCGTATTGTTGAAGCTCTAGGTCAACATGGTGAGTATTTTTGAATCATGGTTGATGCAACAGGTAGGGCAAGTCTTTCACCATTACAAAAATGCACTGATGTTATCCGTATGTTGGCATATGGAACATCTGCTGATAGTGTGGATGACTATTTGAGAATTGGTGAAACCACGACACTGAAATGTGTTGATAAGTTTACACGAGGAGTGAACAATATCTTTGGTGCACAATATTTGCGAAGGCCAAACGCCGAAGACATTGAACGCTTAATGCAAATGGGAGAGGCACGAGGATTTCCAGGTATGTTAGGGACCATTGACTGCATGCATTGGGAATGGAAAAATTATCCCGTTGCATTGAAAGGACAATATGTTCGAGGCGATCATGGGAAACCAACTGTTATGCTTGAAGCAGTGGCTTCACAAGACTTATGGATTTGGCATGCATTCTTTGGGGTAGCGGGTTCAAACAATGATATTAATGTGTTGAACCAATCCAATGTCTTCAACGATGTTCTGCAAGGACGAACTCCCGAGGTTCATTATACAATCAATCGTACTGAATACAAAAAGGGCTATTATCTATCAGATGATATTTATTCAGAATGGGCCACGTTTGTAAAAAGTATCCCGATGCCACAAGGGGATAAGAGAAAATTGTTTGCCCAACATCAAGAAGGGGCAAGAAAGGATATTGAACGAGCATTTGGAGTTCTTCAATCCCGATTTGCAATCATACGTAATCCAGCACGATCTTGGCACTTAGACACACTCCAGCGCATAATGAATACATGCATCATATTACACAACATGATTGTTGAAGATGAACGTGCAACATATGGTGAAAATTTTGATTTTTCTTATGATCATTTGAGTAATGATGCGACAATATTGTCGAATGATTCTAATATTGATTTTCAAGAGTTCATGCGTAGAAGATTTGATATTCGTGATAAACAAGTTTATCGACACCTTTAACAAGACTTGATAGAACATATATGGCAACGTTATAGACATGAGAATAACAACAATTGAAAAATATTTTAAATATATATTTTTATTGTATTTTGTGCTAGTAACTTATTTTAATAATGTATTTTTTAATTAATTATTTGTGTGATGTATTGTGTTTTTTAATATATATATATATATATATATATATATATATATATATATATATATATATATATATATATATATATATATATATATATATATATATATATATATATATATATATATATATATATATATATATAATTTTCTTTTAAATATATAATTTTTTTAATGTATTTTGATATATTTAAATTAAATTGTTTCAATTATTTATTTATATAATTAAAATATTGGATATATTGTGAGATTTGGTGGGATCCATTTTAGAGTTTTTGATAGGTTGTATGAATATTTGAAAAATGTAGTTGAATTGTTTAGAAAATATTGAAGTGGAATATAATATAAAAAAATGCGTGGACCCCATCTAAAAAATTAAAGTGGGGATAATGAGTTTGGATGCTCTTGTTTAATTAGAAAACGCATTGGAGAATAAATTATCTGTTTTTTTTCTAACATCGTTACTTTAAAAATCGTGTGACAATGCCATTTGAACACCGATAATTATGCTCTTAGTAAGTTACTAGTAAGTTGGTTAGCCAAATTGGCACAATACCTAAATAAACTTTTGGAGATTGTTTAACACCATACTATTTAGGTTTGTATTTTCTATCTGTAATGAAGATGAACTTAGATATTCTATTACAAAGGAGGCATTGAATTGAAAGGATGTAATTTGTATTTCTTGTTGTCTAAATTCTCTATAGAGAATAATTTGTAGATAGAATAATTTAAGGGCTGGAAAAGCATTATGAAAGTGAAACTAACTATTATTCACATTGTTTTTTTGGTGTAAATAAGTTGGTTTCTATCTTTATTGGTTACTTACGTTACTATTATTTATTTTCTATACAGCAAAAGTGGAAAGCGTAATTTATATAGAAAAACATTTAGATGCAAGTGAGAACTGGTTGGTAAGTATAATCTTCTTGTGTTTGGGTTGTACTTTAGTCATATGCTAAATAGTGAAATGCTAGCATGTTTGAGAAATTCTAATTTGTGTTTCGTTGTCTTCCTAGGTCTGTGATAGGTTATGGTACCATTATCATTTGTCACCAATAGACTTGGTATTATATTATATTAATACTATATATGTAAGGAGTTTTGATATATATATTTTTTTTAAAAATGTAATCCTTATTGATTATTATCATATGTATTTTGTATGTTTAAGTTATTTGTTTATTGAATGTCCAGTGAATACAAAAAATATTTGGTTGAATAAAATATGGTACAAATGAAATTAAATGTAATATAATTATTAAATATTTTACACCTGTGATAATTAAAATAGAGTGTAATATATCATGTTTTTACATCCTATTTAAATAAAATAGGGTGTACATTTGTTGACATTTATTGTAAGTATTATTTATTTTACACCTGATTTTTATCTAATGTGGTGTAAATTCGTTTGATTTAAATGTATATATAAAATTTACACCCGTTTTTTCTATAGAAAAAATGGTGCAATATAGCCTTTATTTATATCCGTTTTTTTAATAGAAAAAATGGTGTAATATAACTTCTATTTACACCCGTTTTAAAATGGGTGTAAATTCGCCAGACATTTCTCATCCTTTGAATTTACACCCTATAATAACCGATGTAAAATGTATAAAAAACAGGTGTAAATTCCACTTTTTAATCAACATAAAGTAAGGTTGTCAAGATCTTCTCTTTCCAACTATTTAGAACTCTGCTCTACTACTCTCAATGTCTTTATGCTATCAGAGTTTTAGCTCACTCTATTTTCCATTAGTTAAAGACCTTCAACGAATATTTGTACCATGGTAGTCCCGATCTTCAATAGATATATTCTTACTATCTATTTAAAAAAGAAGATTGGAAACATTAACATTTTCTAATCCTAAGAAAAAGGTTATTGGAACATCTCTCTGAGCAAAATCTCAACCTCTCAAGAGAATGAATGTGAGTTGAAGATTTCGTGATTGTGTTCATCTGGATGTGAAACCATTTCACTTAAATGAGTTGAGAGAATTTGTGTTTTAAAGAAAACCCATATTCGAGAAACATATTTCAAAAGATAATATAACCAGAAGGGTTAAGTGTGTTAGAGTAGAGTGAGGCGTATTCACATATATTCTAAAATATGAATATGTGAATATAGACAAGAATAGGAAGGCGCAACAAGATGAAAATTTATGCCAGCAGAGAAGAAGAATGAAAACTTCATTCTTCTACACTCAGGAGCAAACAATTCAAATATGCTCAAGAGTGTAAACCTGTGTGTATTTGCTTATCCAAGAAGCACATGTATGAACACAAGGTTAATACCAGATTCCTCTGTTATGAGAATCTGAAAACTCTAACCTATGTGCTTAGAGTAAAATTTTTTCTATGTGATTGAGAAATTAAAGTATCATGCTTGCAGGCAGAGCAAAAAGTCATAAACTGAATGTTTAGGTAATTGAAGTCTCATGCTTGAGGGCAGAGCAGAAAGTCTCGATCTGGATGATTGTGCAGGAATTTTTGAACGGGCAATTCAGGAAAGGAAGTCTCATGCTTAAGCACTTGAGCAGGAAGTCTTGAACGAGTAGTTTAGGAAAGGAAGTCTCATGCTTACGGGCTTGAGCAAAAGTCTCTTTCCGTGTGATTAAGGAGAAGGTCTTGAGCTCCTGACTTAAGCAATTTTAATAAGTCTGACTATAGTTAAAAGCTCTTATGTTGTGATCCGCTGTTGCGCACAGATAAAAAACGAGTATTTTTAAAAAAGTAGTAAAGGGAAGCGACACTCAGATGTTGTATTGCAAGGATCTTGTATCATTTCAACCAACTAAAGAAAAGGTTTATGGGTTTTTTAGTTTCGATTTATAAAATAAGAGAAAAATGATTAAAATAAGTGATTATCAATTAAGCTAAAACGACTAATCCTACTGATTCGGATTCCGACTTATCATCGGCTATTATAACACCAATCCCTAAGCGGCTTTGATCCAATTCAATTATGAAATCAATCAGACAAGCGCTTATCAAAATCATACGAATTATGTTCCGGTTTACCGGATTAAGCAAACGGTTAAGAATATGACGAACTAACGAATTAAGCAAACGATAACACACAACTAAATTTAGGAACATGCATACAATCGAATTTAATCAATTCTAACTTCAACGAATTATTTGAGTTTGCTCCATTATGAATCAGCTTCTTCGTACAACATGAAAGTTATAGCTCTTTGTCTTATCTTTCTAAATCCTGGTAGAACGCATAAATCTGATTCCCATAACTCCAGTTATGATCCGAACAGTTGACATGTATCAAATAACCACTAAAGCTGAAAATAAGATGCGAAAATAAATTAACTGCAAACAAAGACTTAATTATAAAATCATAATAAAACACTAAAATAAAAGAAACAAACTAAGAAAATGCCTAAGTACAAAAATAAGAGAATGAGCATTAATATGCACTGATCAAATTTCCCCACACTTGAACTTTTGCACTCCGAGCAAAATAATATCAAGACTCATGAATACAATAGCATTTGGAAACTCATTCTAGGCTACAACCTCTTATTAGGTCAAGATTGTATCGATGGATACTAATTTTGCACACTAAGGATATCGTAAGAACACAAATCCGCAATTGTGTGGTCATAAACCTCCCTCCTATACAAACCAATCTGAATCATGTTATTATGCATAAGCCTAACTTACCCATCCTCCTTTTTTGCTCTCTTTCATTCTAATGCAATCACATTAAGCCCGTTATCTGTTCACACACATGGTAAAGAAGCTTGTTAGTGACTATGATCCATATCTTGTAAACAATTCAAAATTAACCACTTTAGCAACAACGATATATATATTTTTTTCTTTTTTTGAAGGTTTCACAACCGTTAGCCTAAGTGACCAGGTGAGGGTCACCTAACTTAAAAGGCGGATTCCTATTTATATTTCTTATTAAG